ATAATAATATTTGCATCGAAGATATTAAAAAGAATTAGAAAGAATTAGGATCTGGTACTATAGTGTGTGTCTAGGGATTATAGAAAAATAATCTTCACAATATTGTAATAAATAAAAAGCAAATGTATATATTTATTATTAAAGAGTCAATAATAAAATACACTATGAAATAATTAATTAAATAGATCACACTGCTGAGGGTACGTGTCATTTCACCGACAAGTATTTCAACGACAGCCCATTTCACTGACTAGTTTTTTAAAAAGTTGCACTAACATTAATTCTAACGAAATTAAATTGCTGTCGGTGAAATGAGCACCACCCCACTGCTGATGGTTGTTATATAACAGGTTTTCTATGTACTATATTCTGTCTTACTGCAATACCGAGCGGTAAAGCGCAACCACTTATTGTTGTTAAAATCTTTAAATTGTTATAAATTCTTTAAACGAACGACGGCATGCTATCACGTGATCGTTGTACGATCGAGACCAGAAAGAGTTCCCGGCGATCTAAATCCCATTTAACCAATATATTAGATTAATAGGAAAGGTAAAGAAATTAGATTTATGGGATATGGTAGATAAATTAGATAAAAAAAAAAAATTCGCTCACATGTGCAATGTTTAAAATTCAGTTTTCTCATGGGCATTCAATTTTTTTTAAGAACACTGATATTTAATATAAGGTTGAGAACATATTATTCTTTCAAAATGATCTTAAAAATTATTCGATATAATGAACTAGTGCACCAAAATGGTCATTTTGAGTCGAGTTTAAGGTCAACTCGAACCTAGTTCAAGTAAAATTGGTTGTATTTTGAACCTATAAATTTTGCATTATGTATTTTATTGTCCGGAGCGAAGCGAAGGACTTATACTTTGATAACGGAAATTTGAGTGAAATTACGTTTTTGATGAATTGTTAACGAAAGAATCAAAGACGTAGTTTTGGCATTTTTCGGATGTAACGCCCTGAAATTTTGATCATCTAATAAAAATACTACTTTACTATGGAATTTTTACGGGGTTAAGTTATATAAAATTTTAAGATCCGGACTTTTACTGGTTTCTAGTTCCTAGTTATTATATAATCTTAATTTGACTCAAGTTAGTGTCAAGGGTCTTTGAATTGGGTTTTTAATTGAGTTACTAGAATTAGCAAACTCTGTTTTGCATACATTGTATTAAAAAAGACTAAATTGTTTTGTTCGAGGGTCTCGGAAAATGGAATTCTTTTTTAGCACAGTATTTCTATCCTTTTATTTCCTTGCTCACTTGTTTTTGAGGTCTTTGAAAAATCACATTCTTGGATTACCTCAAAATGCCCAACATGTCTAAATATTAATAATCTTTGGACTTTTGACGTACGTCGTATTGTATTGCCGTTTATTCATTTATCTATCGGATATCCAGACCTGAATTTATTCGGCTTTATCCGGATTGGAGCTCTAGGTATATACGTACCAACAATTCGGCTTAGTTTTAAATTTGAATTTTAAACAATTTAATGTTAAGAAATTATGAAAACAGCTGTAATGATTGAACGTTGGTGTAACATACGATTTTTGGTTTCATTATTAGGTTATGTCGATCACTAAATCGAAAGACAGAATTTAACGCAGGCTTGAATTTACTTGACGCTCAATATTTAAACGTTCAATATTTAAATATGTTCTTATAATTAAAATTTCATGCTGAAACCTTTTATTTAGAAGTCAAATTTGGTACCATAGTAAAATCTACGATTTTTCTGTGATTTTATTGGCTTTAGATATCAATTACTGTTTGACCAATCTAATTTAATTAAGTCGTCAGTCTATCTATATTTAGAATACGAACGTTAAAAAATTCATGTTAAAATATCTCGAAATACATATAGATAGAAACCGACACTTTAATTTGAATCAAAAATCTCAAAATTGTCATCACCATATACGTTTTCGCAACTAAACACACACTAAACATGTCATAAACATGTTAGACAAGTGTTCAAACGAAAATTTAATAATATTGACATGTTTGACATTTATAATGCTAAATTTATTAGTAGAACAAGTCTCATGTAATATATATGTCTTTTATATATAGTTTATACCGTATATCGTGTGGAAAATTATTGTAATTTGCGTAATTTTTACGTGTAAACTTTCATAGAGCCGGCACATAAAGTATAGTAATTAACGCTGGCAAAATTAATGTAAAGGTTACGTACGTGCAAATTTTTTACGTACGTATGTAATGGTTGCACATTCGTATAACATACGATTTTTTAATCCCAAAGTAATTTGATTAATAAAATTTCAAGAAATATCAATATCTGTGTACGTCTACACTACGTATATACGTAGTGTACGTACAAATAATACAGTATTTGAGTATCAATCTATTCAATCCAACCCTAAAATATCACGTTACCCATTCTTGAGTTTGTATCATTCGCACAAATTTTCAGTCAGAAAAATGAGAAACGGTTATGAGATAAGTTATAGAGATAGAATGGTCCGGCCGGTCCAAAAACGATTCCAACCTTTAACCATTTTTATCAGCTAGTGGAAGGAATTAAATCATATGATATCAATAATTGGACTAACATTCTTAAATGTTAAAAATGCTGTTAAGGTGGAATACTGGTCTTAAGACCGATTATTAGTAAGTGATTGTCAGGGAAAAACTATAAATCTATAATCCGACAAATATTCGGATAATTATCCAGATATCAATAGTAAAAACGGATATCCGAATAAATTTAGATCTGGATATCCAATAGATAAATTAATAAATGGATAATGGATAGGAACTCTATGACAAACTCCGTTCCAACGAGTCTACTTTATTATTATAATTATGTAATGTTACACTTTGTAGACAATCACTTCATTTAGATATCATATTTCACTGACAGTTAATTCACAGAACAGACATGTTTTAGGGTAAGTTCGTTTCGTAGTTTATTTAGTACAAGTTCTAAAAAAGCTTATGAAATAAACGTGTCGGCGAATTAATGTTTTGTGAAATAAGTGATTGTCGATAAAGTGATGCGGATCCAATATATTAGTGTATAAAAAAGTTAAATAAATAAGAAAATCAAGTTATATCTATAGCGCTTCGATTAAATAACAAATTAAAATCTTCACGAACAAATAAAAATAAAAACCTATGAAAAATATATCGTAATTTTCACGATGCCAGTATTTGATGATGGATCATCTAATATACCTAAAACAAATACACGTTATTCTTCTGAATATCTAGCTAATGATTTATCAGAATATCGCTATGATAATAAAACAGAACAACAACATATAGAAGGTACTAATCGTAATATTGAGGAGGCGGCTTATCCTGCTGAAGCATATGATGTTTCCGATTGTGGTTCATATTAAAGTTTTTTTTTTTAAATGATTCGGTACCGTTTACCACTGCATACAGCCAGTATCCCCAAAAATAATACCCTTTGCTTAATTCTTGAATAATATCCAGGATAACTATATTAGTTTATTACTTTTCATATAATATGTACTCAAATTACCTAAAACCATTTTTCCGAAAGGACATAATCTCGACAAAGTTAGCTGGCGTTAGCTATCATACAGGTCGATTATGCACCTTCGGGAAAGTGGCTTTCGGAAAATTGTACAATAACTCATAACCCCAGTGCTATCATGAAATTCTTGAGGTACTATATGCAGTAGCAAACGGTAATTATTTTGTATAACGTCATCAACATCTTATATTCTCCTTTTATTCTTCTATAGAACATCAACTTTTTGAATCCTCTTTTTGCTCTTCTGAATATGACTTAAACAACAGTGAAAAGGGTAAAAGTCGTAGTGATCTTGACTCAAAAACGGAAAGTCCCTATGGATCATGCACTCCAAATAACGTGATTAATGATTCTAATAAATATGGTTTCGGTGTGGGTACAGGAAACGATTGTTTCTCCAACAAAAAAATTAATTATAGTTTGAATTATCCACATACGCCTGGTGGTGGTAATCAGCACTCACAAAAAATTTATACTGCATGGAGTTCTGATAACCTAATCCCCGTATCTAAGGAGGAAATCGAGGACATTTTCATTGATCTTACCAATAAATTTGGTTTTCAAAAAGATAGTATGCGCAACATGTTTGATAATTTCATGTGTATATTAGATTCTCGTGCTTCTCGAATGGCCCCATCGCAGGCTTTGTTAACTCTTCATGCTGATTATATTGGTGGGGTGCATGCTAACTATCGCAAGTGGTACTTTGCAACTCAAATGTATTTAGATGATGCTCTCTCTGACGTAAGCATTGGAATTACTTTTCAAGATCAAAAAAATGTTAATATTTATGAACAATGGAACAAACGCATGAACAGAATGTCTCAGTATGACCGTGTTCGTCAACTCGCATTATGGTTTTTATTATGGGGTGAAGCTGCTCAAATTCGCTTTACCAGTGAATGCTTGTGTTTTATATTTAAATTGGCTGATGATTACGCCAAAAGTCCAGAATATAAAGCAAAAGTACTACCTGTTCCTGAAGGTGAATATCTTAAGAATGTTATTACTCCACTCTACAAATATATTCGTGATCAAAGTTATGAAATTATTGATGGAACTTTCGTCAAGAGAGAAAAGGATCACGCTGATACAATCGGTTATGATGACATAAATCAATTATTTTGGTATCCTGAGAGCATCAATCGTATTGTGTTACAAGATAAAGGATCTCCTCTTATGGCCCTACCTTCAAGTCAACGTTATAAAATGCTTTCCGAAGTAGATTGGAATCATGTTTTTGAAAAGACTTATAAAGAAAAGCGCACTTGGTTTCATCTTGCCATCAATTTTACACGTATATGGATTATTCATGTTGCTGTCTTTTGGTATTATACTGCTTATAATGCACCGTTCCTTTATACAGACCCCGAAAAACCTGTGCTTGCTGTTCAATTGTCAATTGTAGCTCTTGGTGGTGCGGTGTCTACCTTGTTCATGATTGTTGGATGCATTTGCGAGTTCTTCTTTATTCCTCTGAATACTGATAATATTTCAATGTTATCACGACGTATAACATTTTTGTTTATCATTCTGGTTATTAATGCTGCACCTACATATATTGTCATAAAAGCACGTACTACACAGATATCTTTGATTATTGGGATAATTCAACTTGTCATTTCATTATTGACCACATTAACTTTTGCAATCATTCCAAGTGCTAACTTATTTGGTGGTCCATCAAAAAGTTCTCAGAAATATCAAGCGTTTAAAACATATACTGCCAGCTATCCTATACTTAGTCGTACCGATCGTGCAATATCAATTGGTCTTTGGTGTTGTATATTTGGTTGCAAAATGATTGAGTCTTATTTCTTCTTATCACTTTCTTTTAAAGATCCACTTAAAGCAATGGTGAACAGTAGGGTTTTACATTGTGGTGATAGACTTGTTGGTGGAATTATTTGTTCTTATATGCCAGTAATATCTATTGTCATTATGTTTTTTATGGATCTTGTGCTTTTTTTCTTAGATACGTACCTGTGGTATGTTATCTGGAAAACTATATTTTCCGTGATTCGCTCATTTTACCTTGGTATTTCTATTTGGACACCTTGGCAAAATATCTTTTCCATGTTACCTAAACGGATATACACAAAACTTTTAACTACACATGATATGAAGGCCAAATCAAAAGTTATTATTTCACAAGTTTGGAATGCTATTGTTATTTCCATGTATAGAGAACATTTAATATCTTCTGATAATGTACAGAGATTACTATACCAACAGGTTTGTGTTCAATAGTTCTAATATACATAATATACTCAAAATCTCGTTTTCATAATTTTTCCTTAAGATTTATTTATTTTTATATATATAGATCCTTTCTGACGATGGAAAACGAATTTTAAAAACACCTATGCTCTTTACATCCAATAAATCATATCAAGAAGAATATTTTCCATCATCGAGTGAAGCAGAACGTCGAATATTATTTTTTGCACAAAGTTTATCAACATCAATTCCGAATCCTTTACCCGTACAAAATATGCCTACCTTCACCGTGTTAACACCTCATTACTCTGAAAAAATTCTTCTTTCACTTCGTGAAATTATTCGTGAAGAAGATAATAATACTCGAGTAACTTTAATTGAATACCTGAAACAACTTCATCCAATTGAATGGGATAATTTTGTTAAAGATACAAAATTCTTGGCAGAAGAACGTAACTTAAAGGCTATTCAAAATCAATTTGGAAATGATTATTCAAAGGAAATAGAAAATAAAAAGTTGGATGATTTGCCATTTTATTCTATTGGTTTTAAATCTTCTGCACCCGAATTTACGTTACGTACTCGTATGTGGGCTTCACTTCGTTCACAAACTTTATATAGAACAATTTCCGGATTTATGAATTATTCAAAAGCGATTAAACTTTTATATTCTGTTGAAAATCCAGAAGTTTCTACAATGTTTAATAATAATTTAGAAAAACTTGAAGAAGAATTAAATTTCATGGCTAATCGCAAATTCAAATTTTTAGTTTCCATGCAACAATATAACAAATTTAGTAATGAAGAAAAAGAAAATGTAGAATTCTTGTTACGTGTATACCCGAACCTTCAGATCGCTTACCTCGAAGAAATTCCTTCTGAAAATGAAGAAGAATCAAAAATATTCTCTGTATTAATTGATGGTCATTGTGAGGTTTTACCTGATGGCAAACGTAAACCAAAATATCGTATTCAACTTCCTGGTAATCCAATACTTGGAGATGGTAAATCAGATAATCAAAATCATTCTATCATATTTTGTCGCGGTGAATATCTTCAATTGGTGGATGCAAATCAAGACAATTACCTTGAAGAATGTCTTAAAATTCGTAATATCCTTGGAGAATTTGAACAATATGATATGTCAACTACTTCACCATATTTGCCTACTGCTGAGATTTCCAATAAAGATCCCGTAGCTATTGTTGGTGCTCGTGAATATATCTTTTCTGAGAATTATGGTATACTTGGTGATGTTGCAGCTGGTAAAGAATGGACTTTTAGTGCTCTAACTCAACGCATAACTGCAAGTGTAGGTGGTAGATTGCATTATGGTCACCCAGATTTCTTGAATTTTATATTCATGACAACTCGTGGTGGTAAGTAATGTTCTAATTATTTCGATTCTTTTTATATTATTGTTTCAATACTTTTATATACTTTTATATTGATTGTTTCAATACTTTTAACTTTATAATAGGTATATCTAAAGCTCAAAAGGGTTTACATCTTAATGAAGATATTTACGCTGGTATTAACGCATTTAATCGTGGTGGACGCATAAAGCACGCAGAATATTATCAATGTGGCAAAGGCCGTGATCTTGGTTTTAGTTCTATCCTTCATTTTACCACTAAAATTAGTACTGGTATGGGTGAACAAATGTTGTCTCGAGAATATTATTATCTTGGAACACAACTTCCTTTGGATCGATTTTTGACTTTCTATTATGCACATCCTGGTTTTCATGTGAACAATGTTTTTATTATGCTATCGGTACAATTATTCATGTTTGGTATGATGTTCATTGGTTCAATGGCTTCAACTTTGACTTTATGTGAATTTAATCCGGACCCAACAGCTCCACTTAATCCACCTGGATGTCACAATCTTTTCCCTGTCTTGGATTGGATTAAACGTTCAATCATCTCTATCTTTATTGTGTTTTTTGTGGCATTTTTACCATTATTCCTACAAGAATTGACAGAAAAAGGTTTCTTTCGTAGTATAATTCGACTTGGCAAACATTTAATGTCATTATCACCATTCTTTGAAGTTTTTAATACTCAGATTTGTTCTAGTAGTATAATATCAAATCTTAACTTTGGTGGAGCTCGATATATTGCTACTGGTAGAAGATTTGCTACTTCTCGTATCCCATTTTCGATTTTATACTCTCGATTTGCCGGTCCTAGTATTTATTTTGGAATGAGAATCTTGTTAATTTTACTTTTTGTCACCATGACAATGTGGTTACCACATCTTATGTACTTTTGGGTTTCAGTCATAGCTTTATGTATTTCCCCATTCCTTTTTAATCCACATCAATTTTCTTTTTCCGAATTTATTATTGATTATCGAGAATTCTTAAGATGGATGTCTCGTGGAAATTCCAAATCTCATACCAATTCTTGGATCGCTTATTGTCGTGCATCTAGGACAATGATTACTGGTCATAAACGAAAACGATTGGGTCATCCTCATCCTTCAGAGAACTTAGTTGATATTCCTAGACCAAATTTTGCAGTTATTTTTGTATCAGAAATCTTATCACCATTCATATTAGCAGCACTTTGTATAATAGCTTTTATGTTTGTAAATAGTTTTGATCGTTTAAATCCTGGAACTCCAAACAAAGGACCAAGTGCTCTCATACGTGTTTGTATAATAGCTATCGGACCAATTATAATGAATGCTATAGCTCTTGCTGGTCTCTTCTTTATCTCATTTTGTCTTGGACCTATAATGAATAGATGTTTTACCAAATTTGGATCAATCATAGCAGCTATTGCACATACTTGGGCAGTTCTTAATTTGATTGGAGCTTTTGAACTTTTATGGTTCATTGAAACTTGGAATTTAAGTCATGCAGTATTAGGAATGATTGCTTTAACAGCTATTCAACGATTTATTTGTAAATTTTTAATAGTTGTTTTTTTAACAAGAGAACTTAAACATGATGAATCAAATCGAGCTTGGTGGACAGGAAAATGGCATGGACGTGGACTTGGTTGGTTAAAAATTACTCAACCTTTTCGTGAATATATTTGTAAAATTATAGAAATGACATTATTTTCTGCTGATTTTATATTATGTCATATTTTATTATTCATTTTAGCACCAATATGTTTAATTCCTTTTATTGATAAATGGCATTCTACTATGTTATTCTGGTTAAGACCGAGTAAACAAATTAGAGCACCAATTTTTTCATATAAACAAAAACAAAGAAGGAGGCGTATTATATGGTCATATGGATTTTTATTTTTAATAATGTATATAATTTTTGTTGGATTAATTGTTGGACCATTATTTGTTGGATATAAACTAAAGTTGAAATTAAGTATACCTATATAATTTTATAAAAGACATTTTTTTTTTTTTTAGTTGAACATTTTTGCATTAAATTATTTCATAACTAAATAATCTTTATTAGGAAAAAAATATTTATGTGTAATTAATGTTATTATATAATTTGGAGTTGGTTTTAATAGATTTTGTTTTTTATTATATTGTTTATTAAAACAATGAAGCTATAGATTTACATTTTTAATATGCGGTACAAAGGTTGATATATCTTACTTAGATTCTTAATACGTATAAATGTATATATAGTACTCGACTTCTCTCTTAATTTTTAACTTTATATATAGTGCAAATAATTCAATTATTAGCCAAATAAAGTCGATTTGTAACATCTAGTTTTATATATTTTATATACAAAGTTAAGAATTAAATAAGAGTCATAACAAACTTTATTAAGACTAAGATCTCAAAAACTTGAACTAAACACATACAAAAAAAAAATTGTTAATTGTCTTACCTACTTTAATGCAACTTATACAGTTTAGATTGGCATCTAACTTTTATAGTAACTAAGTACCGTTTTTTTTTTAACTTACTATCTGAAAAGTATAAATAATGACTAGAATAGAGTGTTCAAAATTTGCAAAATTCTGTAGTGCATCTTTATAATTTATAAAATTTTTTAAATTCTATAAGTTAAATAATGTATACCAATAATCAGAATTTGCAAAATCCGCATGAACAAAGATTAGTGTTTTTATGACAATAGGTCATAGTTAAGTATCTTTACACAAAATTAAAAGTTGGATATCTATTTATATGGATGCATAAATACGTATATAATGAATTAGATAATATATATAGCCGAAAGAATATAAGAGCATAGATAAAACACGATTGTATAAACAACCTTGAAAAAAAGAGAACATTTCCCTTGATAACTAACCGATGATATTCATGATAATACTTTGATTATCATCTGAAGCACTACTATTACGTTTACTATCAAACTGTACGTATGTACTTATCGAATTGGCCAAACAATCATCCAAAATAATAAAAACAGCTGTAATAAAAATCGTATGTCACATAAACGTGCAATCATTACAGCTGTTTTCATTAGCGGTAGCGTTTAAAATTCAAATTTAAAACTAAGCCAAATTGCCGGTACGTAGATACCTAGAGTTTCAATCCGGATAAAGCCATCATCTGTTTATCCATATCTGAATTTATGGATATCAATAGTAAAACGGCGAATAAAGTCAAGTCTGGATATCCGATAGATAAATGGATAAATCAAAAGTCCTACGATTATTAATATTTAGACATGTCGGGCGCTTTGAGGTAATCCAATAATGTGATTTTTCAAGGACCTCAAAAACAAGTGAGCGAGGAAATAAAAGGATAGAAATACCGTGTGCTAAAAAAGAATACCATTTTCCGAGACTCTCGAACAAAAAATGCCATGTACTGCAAAACAAAGTAAGGGATAATGCTCCTAAAGGGATGTTAAATTCTAGTAACTCAAATTAAAACCTCAATTCCAAGACCCTTGACACTAGCTTGAGTCAAATTAAAATTATTGTAGCATTACTTAATTTTAGAAATACGTAGTTTTATAATAATAAAGTATTGATTCAAATTTATAGATTCCAAAATACAACCAATTACTTGAGCTAGGTTCGAGTTGACCTTAAACTCGACTCAAAATGACCTTTTTGGTGCATTAGTTCATTATATCGAATAATTTTTTGGGATCATTTTGAAAGAATAAAGTGTTCTCAAATAAGAGAATCTTATCTTAAATATCAGTGTTCTTAAAAAAATTTGAATGTCCATGAGAACATTGAATTTTAAACATTGCACATGTGCGCGAATTTTTTTTTATATAATTGATTTATTTTATTACTCTAATTTGTCTAACATATCCCATAAATCTAATTTCATTAGCTGTCCGATACGAAAGTATCGGAGCAGCATTTTGTCTCGAATCGAACACGGAGTGCAAATTAATTGATCAAA